CGCCACTCATTTGGCATCTTCTTCATTTTCAAAATCCTATTGAAAAGGTCAATGAGCCATGTTATACCTGTCTCTCCCAAAACTTTCCACACTTCGATTGGTATATCGTCTAGGCCTACTGTTTTTCTATGCTTCATCTTCTTCAAAGCTACAACCACTTCTTCCTTCCGGATTCTACGATAAAAAGAGTAGTTTCGACATTCTTCTGAGTTACTCAACTCCCCTAAAGAAGCACTCATTTCATGTCCTTCATTGAAAAGATTATGAAAATAACCTTTCCATCTGTCTTTAACCGCGTTCTCTGTAGCAAGAACATTTCCATCCTCATCCTTGATGCACCTCACTTGGTTTAGGTCCCTTGTCTTCTTTTCCCTTGCTCTAGCTAGTTTATAGATATCCAACTCTCCTTCTTTGGTATCTAGTCGCTTATACATATCGTCATAAGCCGCTAACTTAGCTTCTCTCACAGCTTTCTTCGCCTCTTGCTTCATTTTTCTATACCTTTCACCATTTTCATCGGTCTTATCCTTGTATAAGGCTTTACAACATTCCTTCTTAGCCTTCACCTTTGTTTGTACCTCCTCATTCCACCACCAAGATTCCTTTTGGTGTGGGGCAAAGCCCTTGGACTCTCCTAATACCTCTTTTGCTACTTTTCGGATACAACTAGCCATGGAATCCCACATTTGGTTAGCTTCCCCCTCTCTATCCCACACACACTGGGTGATTACTTTCTCTTTGAAAATGGCTTGTTTTTCTTCTTTTAGATTCCACCATCTAGTCCTTGGGCACTTCCAAGTCTTGTTCTTTTTTCTCACTCTTTTAATATGTACATCCATCACCAACAAGCGATGTTGATTAGCCACTCTCTCTCCTGGTATAACTTTGCAATCCTTACAAGTTATACGATCCCCTTTCCTCATTAGAAGAAAATCTATTTGTGTTTTTGACGACCCACTCTTGTAGGTGATCACATGTTCTTCTCCCTTCTTAAAGAAGGTGTTGGCTAAGAAGAGATCATATGCCATTGCAAAATCCAAGATAGCTTCCCCATCCTCGTTTCTCTCCCCAAAACCATGGCCACCATGAAAACCTCCATAGTTGCCTGTCTCCCTGCCCACGTGTCCATTTAAATCTCCTCCTATAAATAACTTCTCCGTCTGAGCAATTCCTTGCACCAAGTCTCCAAGGTCTTCCCAAAATTTCTCCTTCAAACTCGTATCCAACCCTACTTGAGGTGCGTACGCACTAATCACATTGATAAGTTCTTGTCCTATTACAATCTTGATTGCCATGATTCTATCTCCTACCCTCTTGACATCTACAACATCTTGTGTCAAGGTCTTGTCCACGATGATGCCAACACCGTTTCTCGTTCTATTTGTGCCCGAATACCATAGTTTAAACCCTGAGTTTTCTAGATCCTTTGCCTTACGTCCAACCCACTTAGTTTCTTGTAGGCACATAATATTTATCCTTCTCCTCACCATAACTTCTACTACTTCCATAGATTTTCCCGTCAAGGTTCCTATATTCCACGTTCCTAAACGCATTTTGCTCTCTTGAACTCTACCCTTCTGTCCTAGCTTCTTCACCCTTCCCCGTCTAATAGGATCAAAGTACTTCTTTTGTGTGTACCGTGTAAAGTTGATAGGAGCATATGAGCCTAAACAACTTTGAGTGGAGTCGTTCGAAAAGAAGTTTCTATAGCCCCCTTGCTCATTTAACACTGCATCCGGGTGCCGATGGAGATACAGCGACCCTTGCTCACTTATCACTGTGCTCAGGCCACACAGCGCGCCACTTACGGGTGACGCCCTAGCTTTAGCGCGATTTCGTTCTGGATTCATTTTCATAAGGATTCGACGTGATCATGGAGTGCCGGCTGTCGACTACCTGACGCCCTCCCCCTCATCCTTTATCCGGGCTTGGGACCGGCAATGTAAGATAAACTTACACGGCGGAGTTAAAGAAAAACGAATGAGGAAATTATAGGAGATTGTGTCGGCTTTGGCCATGAAGGGTATCAGCAGCTTTTTCCTCCCATACAGGTGATTAATTGTTTTTCAGTCTGTGTTCAGTTTTATTTATTGGATTTGGTTAGCAGCCAGTTTTATGTATTGGATTTTTTATTTGGATTTATAGCACTAAGGGTATAGGTGAACGGTGAAGCGGTTTGTATGGGCTCATGTGTGTTTTAGATAATCTCAAGGACTATGTAGATACTATGATTTGGGGTTGCTTTTTTAAACCATGATAAAGCATTCCAAGTAATTTTAACATAGATATCATTTTTTATGTAAGCATGAGTATATGAAATGTTAAGACGATAATATATCATGTGATTTAAAATTCAAAGAGAGACAATGAACCGTGTTTGATATTTTGTTTGTCTTGGTTCGTTTAAATTTGGGCCTTTTTCAGTTGGATTCATGGGTTTTGTTTAAGATATCATTTTTGGTTTATGAATGGTTTTAAACATCCACAACATCGCGCAGGCACACTTTCACTAGTATTTTACTAAACTAGTGCACTTGAATGTCCGTAGCTAAATATATTATAATGAATTAGTGGAACATAAGAAAATATGGAAAAACGTAAGTGTACCAAAAAGTCCGTACCTAAACATGGTATACTAAATTAGTGTAACATTATGTCTGTACCTAAATATATTATACTAAACTAGTATACCGAAATATTCATACCTAAACATATTATATTAAACTAGTGTACTGAGATGTCTGTACCTAAATACATTGTAATAAATTAATGGCACATAAGAAAATATGCAAAACATAGGTGTGCCGAAAAGCCTCTACCAAAATATTTTCTTATATAAGATACTTACAATAAATTGGTGATGCAAAATGTCAACAAATAAAAGCTAATTCATTTGAATTCAAATGAGTATTAAAATTTAATTCATATCAGCATAAAATTATAAATAGGAAAAAAAAATAAAGACATTGAATGCATATGCTGCCATTAAATAGAGTCTAGGAACTAAAATAAATTTTTAATCTTGTGTGAGACATTTTTCTAAATTTTATTTTATTTAAGGATTAAAATCTAGTTTTCTATTACTTATATTTCTGACTACATATGGTTATTAGTTACTTTAGTCGAGAGTTGACGCACCTGGAATGGTACGTGGAAAACATGTTAGCACTTGATTCCCAGTCAAAGCCACACACGAGAGCATTGTGTATGTCTTTATAAGTAATAAAAACTAATAACCTGAAATGCTCTCGTATTTCTAAAGGCCCGACTCCAAGTTCAAAGCCATACACGAGAGCATTGTGTATGTCTTTATAAGAGACGTTGCTGTAGTCCTTGACGGAGTAGTCAAAGTGACCCAAATTCATCCAAGCCTTCCCCTCTGCACTGCAACCCTCATCCAAATCCCATCCTATCATGGCCCCGACCTTGACGTAGCTATACGTTTTTGGTTGGCTCGAAGAACTTGTATTATTCAAGCATGGAGCAGTGTCCACGTACAGAGAAGAATTCAACGGATTCAAACATTTCAAGTAATATATAGATGTTGAATACAGTGATGAATATCGTACGTATGGATGAGTAATGAGCGGAAAATTTCGAGGCCTGGAAGAGCAATTGGTGTTCACAAGGCCAGGATCTAGAAGTCGGATTGTTGTGTCAGTGTAGTTGATTGCCTGGACGTAGTATTTTCCGGAAGGTAGGTATAGTACTGTAATGTTGCTCTCACAGGACAGGGTATACCTTACGTCGCCACAATATTTTGGATCATGGTTCAGTCGAAAAGGATAGCTTATGTTGTGGATATGGCAGCAGGATGAAGTACAGGACTTGGCACTAGTGTCGACCTTAGCGTTACAAGTTTCACTGCAGAAGCCAAGAAGAAGAAAGGCTAAACTTAAGGTGAAGGACCTGCTTCCACTAATTTCCATTGGGGAGAGAGAGAGAGAGAGAGAGAGAGAGAGAGGTGTACTAGTCCACACCAAGTAGTTATATAATATAGGAGGGGTCAAGCACCTTCCGTGAAATTGCTGTTGAAATATCCTAGAGAAAAATCGTCGTCAATGGTGTCCTAGAGAAAAGTCGGGCGATGGTGTTTGACAGTCAGTCAACGGCAAAGATATTTCTCTTTCATTAAGGAAGGATACTGCGTAATTACTACGCATATATCTCTGCTTAATCACACAAAACAAAAATTTCCAGCTATAGTATCATTTGTGATTCATTTATTAATAAGATATTATACAGGGAACTGTTATTAGTACTCTAAAAATCTCATTCTACACAAGTTTATTTTTCTTTTTAATTATAGAAAGTTTGGAGTGCAAAATGAGATTTTTGGAGTGCCAATAACAATTTCCTATTATATATAGCTCTACTTGGAAGGTGACTATATGTCTTCATCGTGTTAAATTGTATATGGCTCTTGATGTCGGCTGAATTGAATCTAAATGAAAACCAAGCTGTTGATCTTACCAGCCCATATCACTTATCTCTTGCTTATTTAAATTATGTGAAGATGCGTATGTTGATTGGTGATTTTGTTGGATTCACTCAGTTCAAATATATGTTATCTGAATCGTTACATTTGAGAATGTGATTATGTTCCTACCACCATTTTGCCTACTTTCTGTGGAAATTATTCATGCCTATTGTGAATAATACATTCACCTCCTGCAGCGAAGCGCGAGCACATTTTCTAATTTAAGTTGAATCGCAATGGGTCATCAAAAATTACGAACTCGTCATTTATACAAGTCAAACATGAGACCACCTACCTACTAGTTTAGTGGAATACCACAAGTGACATGTTGATACCTTTAAATCTCATTTTCCATATAATGGATTGCAAAATTAGGATATACCTAAACTAATTTAGTCAGTGCCCGAACAATTAAGCAGGGCTTTATTCTTGCTTGAATGTTTGTTATATGTTAATAGTTTGACAAGGCAATTATATTTCCGACTACAAAAGTTATTAATTTGGTCGAGATTTGACGCACCTGAAATGGTGTGAGGAAAACATGTAGACACATAATCCGCAGTCCACTGTCCTGGGCATCTATCTTCAGGAGGTATGAATCCAAGCTCAAAGCCATACACGAGAGCATTGTGTATGTCTTTATAAGAGACGTTGCTGTAGCTGTAGCTAAAGCCAACGGAGTCGTAAAAGGAATCCAAGGGCATCCACTCTACACTGCAACCCTCATCCAAATCCCATCCTATCATGGCCCCGACCTTGACGTAGCTATACGTTTTTGGTTGGCTCGAAGAAGAACTTGTATTATTCAAGCATGGAGCAGCAGTGTCCACGTACAGAGAAGAATTCAATGGATTCAAACATTTCAAGTAATATACAGATGCAGATCTTGGATACCGTGAATATCGTACATATGGATGAGTAATGAGCGGAAAATTTCGAGGCCTGGAAGAGCAATTGGTGTTCACAAGGCCAGGATCTAGAAGTCGGATTGTTGTGTCAGTGTAGTTAATTGCCTGAACGTAGTATTTTCCGGAAGAAGGTAGGTCTAATACTGTAATGTTGCTCTCACAGGACAGTGTATACATTACATTGCCGCAGTGCTTCGGATCATGGTTCAGTCGAAAAGGATAGCTTATGTTGTGGATATGGCCGCAGGATGAAGTACAGGACTTGGCACTAGTGTCGACCTTAGCGTTACAAGTTTCACTGCAGAAGCCAAGAAGAAGAAAGGCTAAACTTAAGGTGAAGGACCTGCTTCCACTAATTTCCATTGCAGAGAGAGAGAGAGAGAGAGAGAGAGAGAGAGGTGTACTGGTACTCACCAAGTAGTTGTATAATATAGGAGGGGTCAAGCACTTTCCGTGAAATTGCAGTTGAAATATCCTAGAGAAAAATCGTCGTCAATGGTGTCCTAGAGAAAAGTCGGGCGATGGTGTTTAACACAGTCAGTCAACGGCAAAGTTATCTCTTTCATTAAGGGAGGACACTGCGTAATTACTACGCATATATCTCTGCTTAATCACACAAAACAAAAATTTCCATTTTTTCCCTAAAAATTAATTTTCTTTCACCTCCAACCCATCATGTATATTCTATAAGATAAGAATAATCCATTGACTAGCTCCAATTAAGCAAGTTTCATAACTTGCTTGATGACTCTGATCATGTGTAATTTTGGGGAATTGGATGCTATTTTATCCCTACTTTGTTAGGCTTTTGTAAATGGTTCTTTCACATTTTTCAAATGGTTTACAATCTCTCTCATTTTCTCTATTTATTTTTAATCTTGTTTGTATTTTCAATCTTTCGTTCTTCCAATTGCTGGAGCTCTACCAGATTGGCTTTTCATTGTTCTGAGTCTATATTAGACCCTTTTTCAGGTTTTGATTTGTTATGTCTCATTTTTTTTATTTACTCGGTTAATTTGCTTCAATTCTTTCAATTCTTTCTTGTTATTTTGATGATTTATATTAGTATTATATAAAATAGGAAGAACTTATACATTAATCCGTTTATCAAATATATGAAAAAATAATTTACCCAACGAATGTGTTATGTCGTGTGTAAGAATGTTTTTCCTTTTGTGTTTTAATTCTGCACTTATTTTTATTTTTTCCACATAAATATAACGAGCCTACATTATTTTTTCTATGAATTATTTACCTACTTTAATTATTTTATATACCTACGTTATTTATTCTTGAATCTTTTCACACATGGCCAAACTTCTCTTGGAAGTTTAATTAGATGAAACAATATGAATCTTGAACAAACCAAAGCAAAGCAAAACGTACTCAACACTTACAGGAAATCAGTCCAAGAATGAAAACTTTCTTATCACTTTCTATCCAAAATTTTGGAATTATGTGTGTTGCAACGGTTGTCCGAAGGATTATTCTTCTTTTATTAAATTTCTAAGGAAAATTAGCATATGGGGCGTAAATGTTGAATGGATGAATTTTCATTGACTTGGAAAGGGATTGTGACTTTAACACGCTATTTTTCTTCATCTTATGCACTCATGTTTATCAAAAGACAAATAAATATGACTTTACATAAGGAGAGAGAAAGAGTATTTTCCTTTGTAAAAATCAACTATTCATTTTCGAAGTGGTAGTCATTGACACGATACTTGATTAGAAGAAAAGTCATAGTAATTTGTTTTTATGGGAACGAGAGTGCAAGTTCTTAATTGGAATATGAGATGAAGTTTCTACATAACTATCTGTGGCAAAGAAAGAAGTCTAAGTTTCTAAGTGGTAAGGGCTCCAATTGATGCGCGTTTGTTGAGAAATGAAGATGAAGATGAATATTGATATTGATGTGAGTTAGTGAACAAGTTGCTTCGATCTCCTTTGGCCCTCTAAGATGATTATTGATTGGTGGACTAAGACGTACCATACAATTTTTTATAACCAGCGAAGATGAACAGTGTCGTGACAAAATTTATCCAAGTAGACCCAAGGGCAAGACTTAGGAACTTCATATACAGTGGGATAAAATGTTGGGCTAATTTCCTATTTTATCTTATAGTCATTAAGTAAAATGTATTGCACATTTCTGGATGCATACACATTAATGTACATAATATTAGTTGAATATCAGAGTACGCAACTTTTACAAACAAATTAACTGAATATAAAACGTTTATAAAATTTTATTAAACGGAATTGCCAAGAAGGCTACATGAATCCAAGAGACCACATCTTGATTGACTTGTTATCTCTCAATAACAAAGCTCTCTATTTATAATAAACTAACCCTAGTCCCTAATAAGCAAGGAAATGAAAACCTAATTTTAATGGGCTAAGCCCAAATCCAAACACTAAATAAATAACTATTTTCCAACACCCCCGTCAAACTTGTGGCGGTACACGTCATGAGTTTGCCAACAAGCAGATGTGGATGCAAGCTCCGTTAGGCGGACACGACAAGACAAGCTTCGTTAGGCGGACACGACAAGACAAGCTCTGTTAGGCAGACACGACAAGACAAGCTCTGTTAGGCGGACACGACAAGACAAGTCTCTATCCCTCGCACATCAATCAAAAGACTCCTTTTTGGTGTGAAAACTGAAAACTTTTATTCATTTTATTTCTTTCATTTTTCTCATCGGCTTCATCTTCTTTCCTTTCCACTTCTTCTTTCTTTTTCTTTCCGTTTTCCTTCTGTACATTCTCCCTTTTTTCTTGTTTCCTCTTCTTCTGTTTTGCGTTGTAAGTTCCTCTTCTTCGATGGATTTCAGAGAGAGGGAGTCACAACAGCTAAGAAGGTGGTGGTGCATAGAGAGAGGGAGTCAAAGCGGTGGAATTTCTTCTCAGGAAACCTCCACTCCGCCTACACCACCACCTAGACAGTCGCCTAGATCGTCGCCTAGACCGCCCAAGCTGCCTAAGAGCGCCTAGGCGAGCGCCTAACAGCTCCATGATTTTTCTTAACGATTCAGACCTAATCGCATCGGCACCACCACGCCCAGCTCCTAGGTTGCCGCTTAGGTCATTTTTTAGAACACTGGTAATACTCGTGTGGTGCAATTCTAATCTCTTATATATAACTTTTTTGTGATCCATTTCTCCATCACCATGCCTAAATCCCTTTAGAATTTGCAATTTCCTCACCCCAACAAACCCCAACATTCTGTTGGATATGGTAAAAAAAAAAAACTCAGAATTTCATTTAAACTTGAAAATTTAGGGATGGGAAAGCAATTTTCTCTTGTTTGGCAACTTGTAGCGAGAGAACAGGAAAATTCCACAGGAAAAAAGTGGAAATTGGGGATGAAGATTCTTGAGTTTAATTTTGTCTAAATAAGTGTAATTTCACAATTCCAACTACGACAAGATTCACAAATTCATATATGGGGAAGTTTTGCGAGCACCAAACTTTACTATTAGGGCACCAAATTTCATGATAAAACCTGATAAGGGTTTAGGGCTGCATCGTTCACTCTGTTAAGTCTCCAATCTTCGACGAGATTTTTAGCTCGTGCATCATCTTCTCACTTTGTTGTAGGGTTACATCTCTTCGTTCTTGAATTATTTTTAGCTTTTCGGGTATACTTTTTCTGCTCATTGTGAATTTTGAAATGGGGCAGGAAGAACATACAAAAAAAAGATAAGAGCTGGAGCCCATCCCAGACATAATACGACAGTGTTGGAACCCCAGTGTTGTCCCACATCGGCTAGAGGGCTCAAGTGAAAGTGCTTTAAATAGAAATACCCCTCTCTAACTAACATCGAGGCCTTTTGTGATAAAACCCCACACCTGAGGATTGTGCAGGTGGTTAAGTGGGGACAGTATCGATGTTGTTGGAGTGGGCCCTCGGCCCGTCGACCTGAAAATTTCCACATGGTATCAGAGCCAGGAGGCGGGCCCGTACTGCCACGTGATTGGGTGGGTCCCCTTTGGCCCCGCGCGATGTCCACGTAGGCCAAAGATGCCACGTGTTTGGGTGGGTCCCCAATGGCCCCGCATGATGGGTGAGTCCCCAATGGCTCCACGTGGTTGTCGATGTGGATTTTCACGTGTGACCCATAAATGGGGTCTCACGTGCGGGGGAGTGTTGGAACCCCAGTGTTGTCCCACATCGGCTAGAGGGCTCAAGTGAAAGTGCTTTAAATAGAAATACCCCTCTCTAACTAACATCGAGGCCTTTTGTGATAAAACCCCACACCTGAGGATTGTGCAGGTGGTTAAGTGGGGACAGTATCGATGTTGTTGGAGTGGGCCCTCGGCCCGTCGACCTGAAAATTTCCACAGACAGTTTTCCATCCTTAATCCGATCAATGCACTAAGACAAGTGGAGAGCAAAAGAGTTTCCATGGGTTTAGTACCTAGTACCAAAATAAGGTGGTACTTCGGCTATTGCGATGGGAATCTTTATGAACACTAAATTTGGAATGTAATGTTTTTTCGAATCAACACCAGGGGGCTTCGAGCTATGTGTTCTGCCCTATTATTCATTACTTCAAAGTTAACGTACTTTGGAAAGATTGTTGGATTAAATCATATTCTAAAATGTTAAAGCAAAGGATGGAATGTCCCAAGCACTTAGTCACTTGGGTAAGAGCTATTTAGACACAGGCATAAATGATCCAAAAGACCATGCATTCACAAGTAAATTGCACCAAAATAAGATATCCCCAAGTACCATCACTAGGGAAAAGATGTTGAAGTTATGGAAAGGACAAGCCCTCATCCTAGCAAACAACAAATTAATGCAAAACATTGTCAACAACCCTATTTGGCAACAACTTCCCTTTTGGAAGAAGTTGAAGGATCTACGAAAATACTGGCTGATGGATCACCATTGGAAGTAGATCCTCTTCTTCGGATGCCTCAAAGTCAGAAATTTTGCTCAGTAAGTCTTTAAGAGCAGCGAAATCGGCATCCCATATTTTTTTCAGAATCTGGTAGGTGTCTCAACCTCCAAAATGATCTTACTGCGCGTAGCCAAATATATACCCAAAGTTGTACCCCTCTGCATATTTTTCTTCGGACGCCTTCTTGTGAGATGCACGCACGCCCATTATTTCTGACTCATGCTCATCCTTGAGTTGTTTAAGATTTGCAAAGCGAACTTTGTCTTTCTATTCGATCTAACGGCGAAGTCTTTCCACCTCTAACGGCGAACATTGTGAGATGCACGCACGCCCATTGTAAGCATTCCGCTTCGAAGACAACGTTCGATTGATTAAGCTTCAAGACGCAACAAAGTTTGTTCCACCTCAACTTTGGCTTTGCATTCTAGCTCCAACTTTTCCTGCAGTTCAGCAAGAGTTGCCTTGTATTCATTTGCTTTAATATATTCAAGAGTGGC